GCGTTTGTCAACAGTTTTGTTCACCTATCTCTGAAGATTGTTCCTGACTTCATAGCACTCACCATGAATCGCTGAGCAACGGATAGCAGGGATTACGTGCACTGCCTCGGAAATCCCTCTTGCAGAAATTTGTGCATTTGGCACACCAAAATCTGCCAAAGTGTTGCACCGAAGTTCTCCAATAACACCCACATTGACATATATTCTTAGGCAGTGTTCATAGTTTGTGACTTGACTGGAATTCGCGACAGTATTAGATACATATCGATTGCGTAGGATGCGTACTATGCGATCGCGCCAGTCAGCCATTAGCGATGGAGCGCGTTTGTCAACAGTTTTGTTCACCTATCTCTGAAGATTGTTCCTGACTTCATAGCACTCACCATGAATCGCTGAGCAACGGATAGCAGGGATTACGTGCACTGCCTCGGAAATCCCTCTTGCAGAAATTTGTGCATTTGGCACGTACACAAAAGAGCACATGTTTGACTTTCAGTGCACGTAAAACTACATGAAAAGAAAAGAATGCGGGCCAAAATGAGCGGGAAATTTCGACAGATTGGTTTATGTTCGGGGAACACACTAACTTTTATCTCCTTTTTTCGCAAAGGAAAAACTGCTAGGAATTAAGTACTCCCAGTCCTTTGCATTTTTGGTAAGTTCGGCGACGACGGGGGGGGGGCATTTTGCACTTTTGCTGCTTCCCATCGACGTGTCGACTCATCTAGAGAGCCGTTCGTGAGCTTACAAGAGTTGACAGGTTCTACCGTGGTGGCTAGACGAGCTTGCTCCAGATTCACAAGAGTTCACAGGTTTCACCAGTGTGAGACTTGCAAAGCGGAACAGTGAGGTAGCGAAAGTGCAAAGTACCCCCCATCGCCGAACTGCGCCTGCATTCTTGTATGTTTCAAAGATCTGTTTTTGCTCCCCTAAGCATCAGTCCGAATTAACAGCTTTGTTTAGCAATTAGCAGATGTTAAGGCGATAAACCGAGCTATTTTGGTCAGTACAGCTCTGTGACTGTGCTTCTAATCCGACAACCCTTGCCTTTAACACTAATGCCAGTCCATGATCTTTGCCCTTGTACCGAAATTATCTTTGAGAACTTACGCCCGACAAAACGCAGAAAAAAATCTTCGCGGTCTTCACGACAACTTACCATAATTTTCTGGCATAAAGGACAGCCAGTAGGCTGTGCGTAAGAGTGGCTCCGGTGGTGTAATGGTTGCGCCCTGGCCCGCAAGCGGGGAATGCAGGTTCGAGTCCCATCTGGAATCTTACTTCGGCCTATAACTCAGCTTTCGTGCGATAACTTTCGGAGCGCGAACTACGCCTTTGAACAGCAACTATCATACTGAAACACCTCACCTCAGAAACATTCCCTTGGACGCCCTTATTTGTTGACCCCTCCCTCGCTGATAGGTTCTCGGGGTTAACAAAAAACCATAGTTTGTCTAGGTCAGGTACGAAATAAATCATTAATCTTTTGTAGCAAAATTTCTGCCCATGTTTGTTTCGTTTTCTAGTTAAATACTGAAAATCACACCGTTTTTCTAGACTTTCGAGGATTCCCGCCGCCTTCAACAGTCACTGACAGAACTTACCGAAAGACTGACCTCTTTGGAGAAGACCAAAGGAGACGAGATCCATTCGACTAAGATTTACCACGTTTGTGAGTGTCGCCTTGCTAAACGACTTTCAAAATCTTTGATTGAATTGATGATTTTCAGACAATCAACAGCCGGACACAATAGGCTTTACCTCTAGTGCTCAACAATTGGCTCATGAGCTCGAAGAGATCAACAGCACCTCACGAAGAAGCACACTGAGAAGACATTATACTGTAGGTCCATTACTTTATTATTGCAAGAAGGTCTGGAAGATTGCGATGGGTTTCAGCCAGGAGACTATCTGAAACAAGCCTCTGAAGAAGGTTATGGAACTCTGGGTAGAAATAGACGCTCGCTATCGGCATCGGCTCTTGCACGAGGTCAGTATTTCAATTTGTGTGTCTTGTAAGGCTGTGTTCACACTTTGCGGCAGCGTCCACCAGCGTCCACCAGCGACCACTAGCGTTCTGAGCGTCCGGCAGCGTCAGCGACTAGGAAAGTATAGATATCGATCTAGCGTCTATCAGCGTCTATAGGGCGCTAGAATAGTATAGGTGTAAATCTAGCGTCCGCCACGTCCACCAGCGTTCACCAGCGACCTGGAGTAGAGAGTATGGGGAAGTAGGAGGGTAGCAAACAGCTGGATTAGGCGTCGTGAAATTGCGGCGTGTGCAACCGCAGCGTACAGCTGCACTACACCGTACACAAGATTCATAATTCTCCGCTTTAGCGTTGTGCGGTGCGGTTGCACACGCCGCAATTTCACGACGCCTAATCCAGCTGTTTGCTACCCTCCTACTTCCCCATACTCTCTACTCCCGGTCGCTGGTGAACGCTGGTGGACGCTGGTAGACGCTGGCAGACGCTAGATCGATATCTATACTTTCCTAGTCGCTGACGCTGCCGGACGCTCGGAAACGCTAGTGGTCGCTGGTGGACGCTGCCGCAAAGTATGAACGCAGCTTACTTCTTCGATCATCGGAATTTTTGCATGTTGCATGATAACCGCTAGTGTGTGCATGTGTGATTAGTAGTGAGCTTTAGATTCGTCGGCAATGGAGAGTCGGACAATGGAGCAGCGTTCGCGCCATGCTTCTGGCACTGGCTCGTCATACATCACTCGTGCAGCAGGTGACCGTCAAGGAACCGACACATACAGCAAACGCTACAATTATCGTAGTCGTTCGGATGTCGGTAGTCCACGACGTTACGCAAGTCAGACGTTGTTAGACGGTTCTCGACCTGGTCCAAGTAC